TTGCTTCATACTGCCGTTTTGAAAAAGCAAATAATTCAACAATTTCCAAAATGTTTGATAAATCTATGTTTATACTATGGCCTCTTGATATTAAACACGACAACGTTTTACTTTTTTTATCTGACGCGGCTCCATATATGGTAAAAGCAGGAAAAGTTTTACAAAACCAATACTCTAAAATGATACACGTATAACTTGCATGGCACATATGAGATTCATAGAGTGGCCGAAGAAATTAGGACAAATTTTCAAGATATAAATAAACTTATATCAGGTATAAAAAATGTATTTCTGAAAGCGCCATATCGAGTACAAATGTTTAAAACTATTGATTAATTAATGATTCATTACACACATCATATTATGCAGATGCTATAGCATTATCTAATAACCCCGGATGGACATTATTTCCACTTATTAGTTAGTAATATAATAATTATTCAACATCGGTTTAATATCAAATACCAATCACACCTATAATTGTACTATATTTAATGTCCATTGGTAGTGCATTATATTATAACGTTTCTCCGTTTGCTGCAGTTTATATGCGCGCGCAGAGGTGCACGAAGTGTTTGCGCGTAACGATATTGTTAACACAACAAAGTTCCAGGATACATTTGTATAGTGTACAGAATCTAAGTATAATTGTGCTTAGGTGAATAATTATCTGCGCCGGTGAGCCAGGCAGGACGTGTACATAATAAATTCATTGTTATTCTCCGTCGCGTTTACAGTTAAATAATTGCTCGCATAGAACGTGTTCGGGTCTTGTTTCATTGCACCCCAATTGAGTATTACTCGTATTATTATATTATTGTTATTAACATTACTATTATGCAATCGATAATGTATATACATACCTAGGTAAAGTCGCAGTCGGCGATGGTCTGGTGACTGTGTCGTCGAAAAAATCAAAAATTCCTGTTATACCTACATTATTTACCATTATTGCGGTTTCTTCTGCAGTGACTATATATAAATATATGTATGTGTGTGTATACAATCTAGTTAACGTCAACGAAACCTTATAGCCTTTCAGTGTTGTGTTTTTTTTTTCAATTAACATTTTCCACGGTCGACACATCGGGACACAAACTACGTAATATTGCGGTCTTTCCAGTTAAATGTCTATTGCCGGCTGCATCTGCAGAGCTCCTGCAGCCATCGGTGGCAGACGTTGCAACAGTTATAATATGTAAGTACACACCAACGCGACGATTGTATTATTTGTATTATTATTATTATGTATTATTGTCAAGGTCTTCACCGCAATTCGACGTTATTCATACCCACCTGTATATAAATAACCGGCAATGTTACAGCTGTTTGTTGATGAGCGACGATTTATTGTGATGAAGTTATTTGTGGGTTTTTGTCGCCGGTACAATGGCTATTATATATTTTGATTTTTCACGAAGTGAAGTTAACTAAAATACAACAATTGCATAACTATGATTAAGCAATAAGGCTACGGTTTATTTTATGATCTATTTTATATCTGTCCATTCAGGAGGGTGATTTCCACTCTGGGAGGGTTTGGAGGTAGAGTCCGCTTCAATGAGATGTCTGTATATGATACTACGAGTTAAGCCACGCGAACTGAATGATAGAGTGACTTCTTGTCAGACTTTAACTGACAAGGTTACACCCGTTTGCATATATTTTCGAATACTCCAATATATTATTATTGATTATAGTATTATACACTTATTATTTTTGGGTTAACCTGAAACTAGCCAAAGGGTACTTTTTAACGGGCTTAGTGAAAAAAATAACGGTTAAAACTTTTCAAAGTGCCACGCTTTAAAAACTATAATGATTTGGATACGTTTTTTTTTTAGGCACCATCATTTTTAAAACTTAAATTTATGTAGGTATGTTTAAAAAAAAATTGCAAGACTCGGGTGGGGTGGCCAAGTTCCGATTGTTTAATCAAAGTAGGTATATTATATTATGGTGCAATGTTTAAAGTTCCGCTTTTTGAATTGAGAAGGTCAAAGCAGCACTACAGAACTGTATTACAGACTTCAGGGGTGTAAGATGGAGTGCGTTTTATAAATGCGGTATCTCTTCAATCTCATCAGGCCCCTAATTTGTATTTTAATATTTTATGAATATACAAAGGAGTACCTATGTATTTGTAGGTTCACAGTTCGTTTTTCGTCGGTAAAAATTATCAAGTGCGAATGTCCCCCTCAAAGAACACTGATTTACTGTATCACACCTTACAGAGATTACACACTCATTGTCCACCCATTTACGGCTCACAGGGAAATATTTACCGTGTAATATTTCAAGTAAAGGACACAAATTATTAAATAAACTTGTTTATTGTTATAAATTAATTCTAAATTATATTTATACAAATTTGCCTACTTCTCTGGGCAAAGAAACGTATTCAACAATACGATCATGAATTAATTTTAATTAATAGACAATAAGCAGTTACACCTCTAAAGGATTCCGATGCACCAATTTCTAATTGAACATCCACTGCTGAGGTTGTTGCTGAATTATTCTATTTTGATGTATTGATAACTATGATTTGGGCGTTTGATAGAAAAGTGGAAGGACTTAATATCGAGTTCCGTATACATTTTTCATAGTACGATTCTTGAAAACATGTATACCTACATTTTATATGATAAGGTAAAATTAATGAGTTAAAAAAAAAATGAAAATATAAGTAAAGTGAATATTTATTTGTTGGTAAAGTTCGAAAAAAAAAATGTCGGTGTGCATCACTGTAAATATTTTAGTGTGAGCGACTAATAGGTGAACAATGAGTGTGTTATCTCCGTAATGTGTGATACGGAAAATCAGTGTCCTCTGAGGTGAACATTCCGGTTTGAACAATAATTTTTTTACCATGGAAAAACGAACTGTGAACATACAGATACATACTGCTATACAATATAATTTATTGATAATTAATAAAGTTGAGTTAAAATGGTCGCAGGTTGCAAAAAAACAATACGATTATTCACTTATTTAGAAGTTATAACTTATAAATAAATGGTGACTCGAATGACCTCAACGTCTTATCACATAATAGTTATAAAACTAATAAATCGTACTGCCGCACAAGTATTCTATAGAATGGTCGTAGTTGTAGTATAGACAGTACACAGTAAATGTGTAAATTTGAATAATTATGCCTATAACTAATTGGCTAATATTGAATGTAGCCGACTGTCGAATAATATTTTAAGAGCTGTAAGTACTATTGGGGAATTGATACTATGTAACATGACGTAGTATATTTTTTAAATTTGAATAACTATAACTAGGAAATAAAGTAATAAGTAATAACTAATAATAATATATTTGTATAATAACAAGTTTGACATACAATTGTTACTTAGTTTATACATATTATTTTGTGAAAAAAATATGTCCTTATACTATAGATATATTTATTATTTTTTCAATCATTATTTTACAAATAACTAAGTTAAATTCCATAGTCGAACATACCTCACTTATTGTCGGCAATAATTAGATTTCGTTACGAAAAACCGTTATTATAACATATAATAATGGTTCGCAGTTCTAAAAAACACTGTCGCATTCTTTGTTCCCAAAATAAACCATAAAATATAACAAAAATATAAAATGATTATACACGTAATACCAAATACTCATAAATGTTTTATGTTATAAATTATAATATGACCTGCAGTTACCAGTATAATATAATATATATAATATATATAAATATATATATTATAGCCATAATATATAAGTTCAAAATTATATGGTTTGTTTGTCTTTCTTTTGAGTGATCGTTTATACCCCGTTTATTTATTACTTTTACTAAATCAAATGTGAAGACATCTAATAACATCGCATTTTAGATTCTGATGATTTTATTGATTTTACAATGATGTGTGTAAGTGTTTTTTCTGCCTGTTATCACCTTTTAGGGCTGAAAAAATGTCACCAAAACGATAAACTTTCACTTGGCCAAATACTTCAAAATATTTTATTGAGATTTTATATAGTCATCAATACGAAAATAAGAAACAACTTTTTGCTGTGTAAACAAAATAATTGTTTAATTTTTAATAAACGTGGACAAATATATGAATAATAAATTATAATAATACAACAAATTTATAATGATTATCGTGAATATTATGATGATCATAAATAATATGCATATTATAATAGCCAATAGGTATATTATAATATTTAATTTGATGGCTTGGTGAGGCGCCGTCGTACGCTTAATCTGCGACCACGCTCTGAGCGTACGCACCGGCCGTCGTTACTAGCACTCGGATGGGTGACCACACATACAAAGGTGTTCCAACCAACCGTCCCCCCCCCAACACTGTACTATTCTAATGACCTTAGTAGTTGAAGTCTTCGTCCAAAAAAAAAAATGTATCTAACATATCATATAGTATATATAAGAAAGATAGCAATATAAAATAACTTCATTGTGGCTTGGCGTGGCGCGATGTCTAAGCTCAGTTGGGTACGGTTTCTGAGTGTACGCACCGGCCGGTGTTGCTAGACGTCTCCTGGACGGGATTTTTAGCAACAAAATCCTTGTCCTACATACAAATATGTGTTCCAAACCAACCTTACCGCCTTATAAATGCCTAATGGCCATAGTTTCCGGGCTCTAGATCAATATAAAGAAAATAAATAATAATTAAAAAAATTAAAATAAATCTATAATTTAGAAAAATAAATATAGACAAGGTATACATAAATTATAATATTATATAAAAAAATCTGATTTTACGTTTAACAAAAAAAGTGGCTCAAACAATGGCAAAAAAAGAAGAAATAACATTTTTTAAATATCGTATTAGGTGCATGTAGGCTAGGTGGATTGCGTGGGTGCAGATAATGTTGGTAACTATTGGTCGATGGTTGCCACTACCACGGCTGGTGACAATTGTGACCGGCGTGTTTTGCTCGGGACGCGACGACGACCGTGTCGGAGGGCCGTGGTTGACGGCGAGGTTGTAACTCGGTGCATGATGGTGCTGTACACGCTGAAGACGACTGATGTGACGCCGATGACAGTGACCAAAGCACGGAAGACTAATAATAACGGTGCTGCTGAAACGGCGGGGCCTGCACCGGGGGTGGCGTCACGTGACCGGTCGGTCTGTACCACTACAGGCGAGAAAGAGTGAGAATCGGCGAACCGTATACTCTCAGTGGTTGTGGCCCTGGCAACGTGTCTGTCGCGTCCATTGGCCACGCCACGCCGTGCAGTCGCACACGGCCCAACCACGAACGTTTCATCCCCACGAGTCCGCGGCTGCTGACGTCTGTGTTCGTAGCTACTACATAGTCATCCAATCACTCGCCCGCCGCAGTGCTCTCCAAATTCTCCGCCGCCACCGAGACGAATAGGTTTCATACGGCACTGTACTAGTCGTGTCGCTGGTACCGTCGGGGGGGCGCCGTCGCTCCGTTAGCGACCGAAGCAGCCGAGCCGCATGCAGATGTGGTCGAAAGCGTCGGTGACCTAAAGCGCGTGACGCCCGTGGGTGGTGGTTCTGAAGGTGGCCTAAGTGATTTACCGCCAAACACCCCAAAAGTGCACTTTCACGTACCCGCCTCTACCCCACGTCTACATAATATCCATTGGCTGTGTTTTGGGGCGCATTTAAATCGGGTATTCAGTTACTATATGGGAGACAGTTTGTGATTCATAGGTATCCAGTCACAGAAAGGGATGTTATGAAGTTTCCATTTGTGCATCTGGTGATTGTACCTTCGCCGTGATAGACTAGATGGATAAACTGGTCGTGGGCATTTAGCATCGACGACGAATTAATTAATTATAATTATAATCAACTGACATGTTGTTACCTACAATCCGACCTTTTTAAACTATTCATCTAACTGTACTGGCTTAAGACAAACCCAAGTTTTAATATTTGTACGATATATGCTATACTGTATTTGCATTGCCTATGGTCATACAAAAATAAATAATAATAACCTTCGCCGTGGCCAGTTCTCAAATGGTTCAATGTTGCCCAGATGTTCTGTGATTGTAATCAAATTTAATGATATACTTATCATTAAATTCAAATTCAAGTACTTAACACATCAATTACAGTGATTTTTAGAGTGATACCCACTTGACCGCCTAACTAAAAATCATTATTTGTATGGACAATGCAGGTATGTACAATACTGTTCCATATACATGTCACGAGCAGGTACCTATAGTATATATTTTACTATTTATAATCAATGATATTTTTATCAAAACTAACCAGTAAATGTTTAGTGAAATAAGTAATAACCAATATAAATAGTGAATATAGAATATTCTTCGTTAATAAATAATGTGACTCCTATAGATTTTATGAGTCAAAAAGTTTCTAGACACATATACTATAATTTAGTATAATAATATCTATAATACAATATCAATGAAGTGCAATCATTTGACATTGACATCATCTACCAAACTATACAATTTTACTTAACTTTATTTTCTTGTTACTCGAGAATTAAATATAATAATATGGAAAAGTTTGGTAACTTTTTATTACATTTTTATAATGTGATTTATTTATATGAATTATGAATTCAATATTTAGTCGAACCTTACCTTCTAGAATATAATATTTCTTTTTTCATTATTACACAGATATTGGAAGAAGTAGTTTCAAAAAATTGTTCGATTTCAATAATTTGTGCATTGTGCTGATTATGTTGTACTACACTATATACATTTAAAAAAAACTAAAAAAATAGTTCTTTGATTTTAAACACAATATATACAAGGTATGTATACAAATATTAGTAATACTAGTCATTACTTGTAAATTTTTATATACTTAAAATAATTACCAAATATTTTTGAAAGATGAACTTAAAATTGTATTGATTATATTATATCGTGATGACAATAATTTTTAAAAATATATAACAATATTTTTATTAATATCTTTATATTCGTGATAAATCTAGAATTTTTTTTTAAACATTTATTAGAATAAATAAACTCTGTAAACATAATTACAATACGCATATAAGCGTAAAAATATATTGGCAATGAATACTTGAAAGGGCACAGCTAGTAGCTTCCTATCTCTAATACTCGACTAGATAATAAATCTAGGTATTAATTTTAGTTATAAATTTAATTTTAAAAATAGGTTTATATGTATGCTGAATAGAAAATAATCCTTCATTTAAATATTCAAATATTAACGAACATCGTATAAATTACAATTTTTTTGTAACTGGGGTCAGGGCTGAACGCAAATATATATAATATTATTATTATTATTTCAAAAATTTACAAAAATATGCATCACACGTATTTATAAATTATAATATGTATTTTTAAAATTGGGTTCGAAAATACTTTTGATTATTAAACACTTACGCAGATTACACAATACGATTGGAAAGTTATACGCTGACCCTCCCCTTAACCAGTGACCGCTGTCAAATGTAGTGGGTACTTGCTCCTATTTGAGATCTATAAATTATTACAATATACGTGTGGTGTCCCAACTATACAATTATTTTGAAGAGAAACAAATTCAATGTATTATGTTTTTTTGTCGTCATAACAGAGTTATAATATTTAATACTTGATATTATACATATATTATATTATACTATATATGTATATGCCGGATTGCATGAACAATCACTAAACATTTAACCAATCAATAGTGAGCTAATGGTAATTTAAACATGATAGCATAGTGGCACATGATTCATTCAGTTTTATTGAACTATTAAATTCATACATTTTTCATGCAATCAGGTCTTGTGAAATGCTGAATTATTCCAAAGACGAGGACTGTATCATGAGCTCGTTGATGGCCAAATGTACCGGCCTGCACTACGTCATCGATCCGAAGAGCCCCAAGCTCGGCGGCCATAACGTTTTTCACTTGACGATAATGGCCATGATCGCATTCACGGTAGCCTGTGTGTCCCTATGCCCGTTCGGCCTCTACCACTGGGCCAACGACATGACGCAGTGCCTCATCCAGCTTATGATAATCGGAAACTTTTCGTTTGGATGCTTCAAAGCTTATATGATCGTCCGGCACTCTGACGACATTCGGCGGAGTCTGGACGTGACGCGCTTCGATTTCGTGTCCAGCGCCATCGCGGATCCCGATTCGGCACGTTTCTTTCGAAGGTGTCGCAACGTGTCGGCGACGTTTACGGGTTGGTTCGCCGCCATCAATCATTTCGTGCTGATGCTGTGGACGCTGTTGCCGTTCGTCATCGACAGCAATAAAGTCGAAGTAAAGAATCGCGACGGATCGTTCAGCTACTACCACTTCAACCCGTACAACTTGTACTTCTTGGTGTCCAGCGAGACGTACAACGAATGGCATCTCGTCTTCCACTTAATCGAATGGATGTTTGGCTTGATTTTCATACTGGTCATGATACTCTTCGACACGTGGATGGTCACGTTGTGCATCGCGATAACGTGTCAGATGAAAGGCATAGCCGATGCTTATAGAAAACTAGGACACTGTCGTAGTAGGACTGCACCAAATGCCTGGTTCGGTGGTAAGCATAACAATATTATATTACACATAGGTACATACTGTATAAACAGTCTATATTAGCATACTCTTATGATATGTTGGTACGTTGAGGTTTCTACTGTCCAACCATAAGTCCATAAGTAGCTGCGATAGTCTGTTACGTCTAAACAATGTGGAAAACAAATTGACAGGTGTTTGATCAAACGATTAAAATTAGTACCCGATATTGAGAAAAGAGAATTTTTGAAGCTAATAATATGTCTACAGGGACGTAGATTTTTCAAACCATTTTGATGTTTATATTATACAAATATTAAAATTCTGATTTTAAAGTGTAGATTGTTAAAATTGATATTTTTGAGTACAGCTGACTTAGATTGTTCACAATACTCGAGCAGTACCCTGCGTTGATACCAACTATGAATTTAAAAATGAGAACCTACATATTTTTATGCAAATCTTGGTAAGCCAGTAATTTTTCTAAACATTTTGAAGTAATTTAATCGAAATTTGAATTAAAAGTGTCTGAGTTATTCTTCTTTAAATACTATAATAGGACAATGTTCCAATAAAAGGATATTAATTATTATTTACTTTTGTTTTGAAAATTATTGGATGTAATTATACCTCATAAGCATTTTGTAATGTAAAACAATTGTCTAGCATTTTTGACTAGATAATAATTTTACAAATATTTTATAATGCATACTGAATTATAACTACAGAGTTCGTGTTCGTTTACAAATTATACCTATTTAATAAACTATTATATCCTTAATATTAAAGAGTTGAATAACTCAGAAACTTTTTGTTCAAAATGTCGATTAAAATATTATCTAAAAACCAAATGATTCACAATTTGCATTAAACAATGTAGGTTCTCATTTGAATTAATGTTGTAAAAATCTAAGTATGTGAGATACTCCCTAAATGTTGTACAAATCTATGTATTGGAAATTATTGATTTTTAACTACACTTAAAAATTCCAAAATCACAAATTTAGTAAAAAAAACTTACCATGAAATTGGGGTGAACGTGCTTAAAATTCAACCAGTGTACAAAACCAACTAGTATTTTTTAATTAATTCTATTATTAATTATTCGACAATTATGCCTGTACACAGAATGAATGTTTATTTTGGATTATCCGAGTACTTTATGTTTTATTGTAGATGAAATTGAATCAGCTGATAGTTCAAATAACGAATATGTAAGAGATTTGAAATTGGTCATAAAGCATCATCAAGCAGTATTGGGGTAATGTGATTTACATATAAATATCATTTTTAGGGTTACTCGGGTATTCCGTGGTTTAAAACTCAAATTAACTTAATTATTTTAGTATTCTCGATCTCGAGTGATGTAAAACGCGTAAATACACACGATAAAAATTACTCGTAGCTATAAGACATAAATAATGAATATGACTATGGATAATCCGAGAAATAATATTACGAATAATAAGTCCAGCTAATTATTAATTAACTGTTAATTTTATTCTCAGAGATAAAGGTTAAGTATATTCTAAATAACAGACACTTTCTAAAAATTTATTTCAAATGTTTTTTTTATATAAAAATAAACAATTAAAGGTTACCTCATATTAAAATTTATTTGTGCCTATAATAATAATTATTGTCATATTATTTATTAATAGGAAAATGAACGATTTTTATAAAATCGTTGGCCCGGTTATTCTTCCTCAATTAATAGTGGCTTCATTTACAATCATATTTGTTTCATTTATTATTACAAGGGTAATTTTATTATACACAAATGATTTTGCTTACATAGTTACATACCTTATTCATACCTTTATTATTAATATGGCCTTTTTTAGAATTATTTTAATGGCATGTTACTAACGTCTACAATATCACTAAAAATGTGCTGTTGCCCTACATTTTTCTTTCAAATATATTATACTTGCCTCGTATTTGGAAATATCGATCATCAGGTAATTTGTTTACTGTTGATTATATTTGTAAAGTATGTATCTACGACTCTCTATAGTTATTAATTATAGTAAGAACTGTTTTACAAATGATAATTTATAGTTATTATTTTATAGTCAATATATTTGTTGCATTATTATAATTAATTAATCATATGGTTTCTGGACCATTCTATTTTTAAACTAACTACTAAGGGTGGTATATATTAGATCAAGAGAGGATAAATTGGAAATCAGTAGATTTGAATGAAGATGTAGTTCTTTATGAAGTCATTTGTAACTCAATGCTTGTTTAAAATCGGGCATTATACCCAGGCCATTGTGGAGGTTAGATTACTAACATACCATGAGTCATATTGGTAATTTTTCAGAGAGATATTAGTTGAAAAGATTGTGTTGTATTGATGTTGGAGATTTATTAAATACCTACCCTTAGTATTAATTAAAATAAGTTAATATAAGTTAAGTTATTAATTAAAGTTTTGAACGGAAAAGTAGTTTAAAAATACTTGTATAATTTAATAATATTGTTTTCTGTTCATTAAAAGTTCTGTTAGTGTTTTCCTCATATATATATTTTTTATGCAGAAAAACGTCATGAACTTTGCGCTTTACTCTTGTGACTGGACACATATGGAAATTAAATTTAAAAAGTTACTTTTATTGGCAATGGAAATGCATGATGCCTACAAAGTGGACATGAAATTAACCGCAGAAATGATTGTCAACTTAGAACTATTTACTAGCGTACGTATAATATTATAACTAATAATAGATAAGTAATTATTAATTTAAAAATTATATATACAAGTAAACTATAATATAAAATAATAAATATAAAAAGGCAAATAAAGTACTAATATTGCACTACTTTAAACATTTAACAATCGTTATCATTTTGATATCAGTATATGGTTTCCAAGTTCATAATCAATAATTTCCAAAATCATCCAATTTAATGATTAATTGATAGTAGTTCAGGACCTATGAGTAATAAAATTATTCTTTTACTAATTGGTCGCAAATAATTTAAAATAGTTTGAAATTATAAAAGTACCTTATAAATCAGTTTAAGTTCTTATTATTGTAGTTGTGAACGATTGAACCAGTTGCCTTCCTAAAATAATTACAATATAATATAGGTAACATAATGTTGACATTTTAAATATTTACATTAAATGTATTTTAAATTAACCATTCATTTTATGTAAGCAAAATACATAAATATATACATTAAAAATAACCTACATTTTATTGTTCATACTATTTGCTATTATAATACTAACATTTTAGTGTCCAACCCATAATTTCTGCTAATACTTGGTTTATCAAATTTAATATGTAATTCTTAATATTTGTTAATTTAAATAGCTACTTCTATACATTATATTTCTTGTAACTTATTGTTGTATTATACTGAATAATAATACACCCTTTTCCAGGTCATCAATTTGTGTTATTCAATTTTTTCGGTCTTAGTCAATTCTCAATTGAAGATAGTAGATCGACTATAAATTAGTTGTTGTCATTGAATATGCAACGTTATTAATGTAGTAATATAAATAGGTAAGTGTTGAAACTAAAATATAGCTTATATAGTTATATCTAACTTAACCTAAATTTAAACAACAATTAAAAATAATAAAAGTACAGATAAATTATGATTATTAACCTTGTAAGTTGTAACAATTGGAAAATACTTTTTTTTTTTATGTACACACTAATATACTTTGTATATATAATATATATATATATACACACTAATTAGTTACACAAAATGGAACAAGAGAAGAACATAGTATGGCAATTCAAGTTGCGTGATGGAACTTGTAAATTAATTTTTACTCTATTAAGCTGTAGGGCCGTTGGCTTGTACAGACTACAGAATATAATATACAGTAGATGAGTAAATGATTTTGACCAATAATATTTATGTGTGCAAATAGTGTTATACAAATATAAAAATGTAGAATATTATTTGAAATAAATTTTAAAACTGGTTGAAGTAAGCCAATGTTTGAAATAACCATAATTTATATAATATTTAGATCCTATCGTTATCACCCATCATATTTTCAGAGTTTTAGTTGTCGTTTTTCCAGTATTCTGTACTCCCGTGTTCGTCTAATGTCTTAGTTCTTGGTATAATCTCTAGGTTCTTGGGCCTTGGTTCTAGGTTTATCTGGTCGCAGATATATTATAGTGCTGCAGCGCTGGTACTTATACTATTCATACCATATTATTACCTCTCGTTTTTACTGCGGATAATATCTGTTTCTTTACATCAACATAAATACCACGGTCTTAGACTACAAATGGCTTATTAAAATAGAAATCAATAACAACCGTGAAACGAGTACTGTACACGGTATGGATTAACTCGATTTCAAAATGTTATATTATATTGTTGTGTATGTTTAAAAAACACTGTCGCCTACAGTGGCTATATAATACATTAGCTATTATTATTATTTCTATATATCCATCTCTGCAGAGACAAGATCATAAGATTGATAATTATATCAATTGATAGTATACTTCACATTTCTATATGATTGAACCATACTCCGATAAACGAATATTCGCGTACATAATAAAATACGACATATTTGGAAATCGTATCGACACATTTTTACTGCAGATCCAAGTCGTTGTGGACTTATTACTTTATTGCAGTCTACGAGTACAATACCGATAATATCCACTTATAAGATATAACATATTACACTGTACAACACTACTACAGCCTACAGGTATTATGGATCATATTGTTATTACATACCTGCCTATGTATATTATGTAGGATTATTACTTGTCACAATTACTTTTTACTGTGACAATGATGAGATAAAGAAACGTAGGTATTGTTGTTACGGTGGTACCAGGTAATAAAATTGTTGACTTTCGTTTTTACAGTGCCAACAAATTATTAATTAAAGTAATGTTTGTAAAGACGACGAGAGTATAATAATACTATGTCTTGGATTCTGGGTTTTTCAAATAGTGAGTGTACCTATAGAATAATAATAATAATAATAATAATAATAAAACATATTAATATTTAATGCTGCCGTAATAGATAATACAGTATAGTAGTATATGTATAGTTATAAACGTTAGTAAAATTTCGACGTTAAAGATTTTCCTTGGGTTTCTACATTCGAGTAAAACGTAATATTATCTCTCTTCGATTGTATAAACTCTCGAAAATTGTTTAGGTACCTAAGCGACAAAAATCTTTAACTACGCAACACATTTTTGATCAAATTCTACGCCGATGTATTTATCATCCATAGCCGTGTATAAATATAATGTATAGGCGCATGATAACATGCAATTTCTCCGATGCGTTCTGATTTCTGATATCGCGGGTACAAAAATATTTAAGACACGATCGAAATAATTGCGTTAAACCGAAGAGGAGAAAACTATAATACACAGGACTGAGCCACTGAAGTTTACCAGCTACGAACAATTATTTCAAATACACGGCTTTAAATCATAATAATATACAATATTATCTTATAATGTCACAATTTATGTTATGATAACAACAATAAACATGCATTACACATAATATGCGCATAATATGGTCACAGTAAGTTAGAACAGCTTATATATTATATTATGTATACAGGTAGGTACCTACTAACCTGCCATGTGACTTTTCCTTCGTGCGTACACGCTTGTTGCGTATCATATGCAAACATCTTACTATACAAAAACATAATAATAACATTATAAACAAATAATTATAATAATATACACTCGGCGGACGTCGACGTATTATCCGAATGCGGGAAACACACTTTGGTGTGCGTGTGATGTGTACGTTGACAAAAGCGTTGGCGATCCGTGAAAATTGCCACACTTGTTCCGAGAGCTTAACGACGGAAATCGTCGTTCCCGTCTTAAATACGTATACATCTACCCACATACCTACCATACATTTTTTTATTATTATTATTTTTTTTTTAGAGCACTCGAATAATAATGTCGTTTTAATAGCGTCGCCGAAGAGGGAAAACGTCGTCCATCTATATAGGTACGCGTTTGTGTCGATATAATATATACTTGGCCACTTAGGCATCTATCTATATGTGCCTATATATTATATACCTCTGTAATCCTCGCGTCGTGGTTTGTAATATACTTCTGCCGACTTTCTTCTCGACTGTAGGTTATAATAATGGCATAAAAATTATGTACCCGTGTAGCCGCACAATAATGGTAATAATATAACGATGTGCATGTGCGTGTTGCTGCAGCTCCGGCGGGTTTTCACCGAAAACGACCGTCTTCTTCGCCATCACCATCATCATCATCATCGTCGTCGTCGTCATCGTCACAATTGCCATCGCAATGTGTGTGGGAGAGAGAGAAAAAAAACGAAAACTATAATATCGATCGGTCTTCAGCTGCAGGGCCACGAGATAAAAATATAATTATAATCTATAAATCTTATTACCATTAAACGTATTATACCACCTTAACACAATTATATATCCATCCGGCCCGCCGGTCGCGTGTTGCAGTGAATTTACGAGATTATTTATATTATATAATATATATGGGTCAGACTGTCAGAGAGATCATGACTATAATATAAACATAAAACCAGACATATAAATATAATATTGCGGTGGTATATGCTTTTGGTTAAAATGGTTGGGAAGTTTGTTAGAGAATAGCACATATCAATAGATAATACGAGGTAATAATATAAAGTATAATAATATCATGGTTCTGATTTATAAATCATAGAAATGGGTGCCTTCAGCAAAACTTGTTTGGGCAACCCTTATTCCTTAGCTACATGCATTTTTATAAAATAAATCTAATTTATTGCCACAGAACGCTATCAAATACTATGCTTGTTGCATACTTACATACATAATATGCACATGTAGTCATGTAAATACGTATATCATAAACAATATTGTGAGAAACTATTTTGGATTCAATAAAAAGTGTATAAAGTTTAAACTTTTTTATTAAGTCTAAACTGAATCCGTTATGAAGGTAAGATTATGTCACAATGCTAAATTAATTAATTTAGGGTAAGTCAAAAACATCTAAGCACAGAAAAAACCACATGGCTAAAACACACTGTACATAGAAACTTTATATTATGATAACAGAAAATTATTCAGGATCTTAAATTATTATTTTCAGAACTTTTTTTTTTGGGTGGCTTTCCATCAACTGACTTTTTACCTGCTTAATTTTTGCCATTTGACAGCACAATTCATACACTTCGTGTTCTGCAGCTACTCATAGAACAAACTGGAATTAAATAGCACTTCAAAAATTCATCAGGTAAAAAGTCAGTTGATGGAAAACCACCCAAAAAAAAAGTTCTGATAATAATAATTTATGATCCTGAATAATTTTCTGTTATCATAATATAAAGTTTCTATGTACAGTGTGTTTTAGCCATGTGGTTTTTTCTGTGCTTAGATGTTTTTGACTTCCCCTAAATTAATTAATTTAGCATTGTGACATAATCTTACCTTCATAACGGATTCAGTTTAGACTTAATAAAAAAAATTTAAACTTTATACACTTTTTATTGAATCCAAAATAGTTTCTCACAATATTGTTTATGATATACGTAAAACCTAACCTAGAAAATGTTAGACTTTTAAACTCTATGTGGTACTTACCTATGACGCTAAATACCACCCCCTCCCCCCTTGAAAACTATGTAAGGACGTCCCTGAAACTTACTTCTCCTATGTGTGTTTTAGGGATAACACCGTACCGAGGTACAGGTATGTAGGACCGAAAAAGAAAATATTAGGGTACCAATTACCCAGTCAATTTTCGAAGGGGTGCGCGTCGGCTGTAACCACTCATCCGCGGACTGCTTTTCGATGTGTATTCAATCAGAGGTAGGTATAATATATTATTATGTATAGCTAGCAACTCGCTTAAGTCAGGTAATTAATTGTACTGGAAAAATGTGGAACGACGGCGGTGGTCGTACCGTTATTGCACACACGGAACGGGCAATAATAATATAATATAGAATAATAACATAGAATAATACAAAAATAATATATAATATTACAACGATTGCGCCGGGTTGTTGCCGCTGGGCGACGGGTTAAACGGTCCGTGGCCGACAGGGGAATAATAATTATTATATATTATTACTACGGTCGTGGTACTTAATACATGTTATATACCTGTCTATATCCGTGGTTGCGGTATCGTACAGTGAACACGCGACCAGATGAACATCGGACAACGGAGTAATAATATGATACGTCATTCCACGGCTGTACGTCTCTGGCGGATTTACAGAGCGCTTATCTGCAGTACTCAATTTATAATCTTATTCGCGGCATGGCGCGGTGTCGTCTTCGTGTGGAATATTATTATTATATTTTATAATATCGCACACGGGCGGTAGATGGGTAAGTGTATAATAATATAATATAGATTCGAGTGTGCGCGACGCGTTCTATTTTTTTCCTCGTCGGGCGAAAGGAAGAGCAGAGGTGACACGGAGCCCCATCGGGGACGTGCTCGCCTCCTCTTTCTCCGCCGCCGAAGCCACCGCCTCCCACGCGCATCGA